AAAAAAAACAAAAAAACCACCTAATGCCATCAGCTCTAAGAATCGTCATCCTGCAGAACAACTCTTTTTCTTGGCATTCATCCCCCTTGGCTTTTTCTATTAGAGTTTGACAGACAATCAATTCCCTCAGTCTTGAAGTTCTCTCCTCCTCCGTTTCTTTAAGTGACATCCTAGTTCTCTTCCCACCTTCCTAACTGCTGGCTCCTCTTACTGCAGCCTTGCCCGGGGTTGTGCACTCAGCCCGCTTCTCTTCTGCTTTCCCTTTATTCTCCTGGTTTCAACTATTATTTACACAAAGATGATTCCCAAAACCAACCTAACACTTCTACCGGACTATCTGTTGAATATTTTCATCTGGATAAAACCCAGCTTTCTCCTGACATGCCCACTATAGCCTTTTTCTTCTTCCCTGCTTACGTTTAGCCAGGTTGCAGATCTCTTCAATTGCTTCTCTTCAGCTTCTCAGGAATCTGTCCCTTTCTTTTTATTCCCAGTCACCATTCCTTCTCAGCTTCATATTTCCTGGTCCCCGGGGAATGAAAATGGCCTCTGGGCTGGCCTTGCTCCTTTCGGCCACTCCCACAGGGTTTCTGACTAGAAACTCTATGAGAAGTAAGGGCTGGTGCCAAGTACTGAGGCATTCCTGCAATCTGCAGGCAGGTTAATCCTCTTAAAGCACTGTTTTGATCATGGTACTCCCCTGCTCAGAACACTTCAGCAGTTCCCCAATATTCAGGGGGCTCTACAATATTAACCCAAACTACCATAACAAACTTATTTGTTGTTCTTCCCATCCTTTTACATCAGATGCATTTCCTAACAGATACTCTGGCCTGCATGGGGGGTGCCCACTCACTTATCTTAAGTGAACAGTAATTGTTCAACAAAGAATTGTTTTGACTGGTTATTTTCCCTTCTATTTTGTCACTATAAAAACTCAAACTTTTTTTTTACTTCCAAGCAGAGACTCCTTTGGAGTTAGAACTGCTAATTCCCTCTGAAAATCAGAATGAAACCAAGTTCTTAGAATGGAAGCTAACTGAAGCAAAGCTGCAAGAAGGTACGCTGCTAATGTAACTGAAAGTGTCCATGCCTTTGCAGTGGGAATCAGGCTCAGAGACCAGCTTAACCCAAAGACAAATAAGCAGAATGGTTCAGAGAACCAAGAATCTAAGAATTTGGGTGAACAAGTGCTAACATTAATATTTAGTCTGATTACCAAATACCCTCAAAATATTTCTGGGATTCCACTTACACCTCAAACTCAGTAAAATATTCCCTTCTCAGCTGCAAGAGTCATGATTCTGAAAATGCTTCCGAAAGATTCATAGTGGAAAAACGTAGTTTTAAGGGAAATAATGTACTGGGAGAAACTCAGTAAATTCATAAAAACTTCCTTCCATTCTTTAAAATAAAGCAATAAAAGTTAACAGGTATAGCAATGGCATTGTGTCTATCCTAAATTAGGGATAATTTGTTTTATATCTCTTAATGCCTATACACTTCCAAGATCTCCCTCTTGGACAAGTTAACAGGATGCTTGCATATTCACTTGGCTTTTTGCAGGTGATATGCATACAAAAATCACTTTTCTGCCTTTAGTCTTCCAAAAACTCAATGCCTTTTAATTCTATGACTCAACTCTAATTCTTCTCCCTAAGTCACACTCAGAGAACCAAATTTTATTATACATAGTAGATGGACTTCTCAAGCTGCAGTAAAGGCAAACAAAAACAAATCTATTAATATAATAGAATTTTTCTTAGGGAGAAATTGGAACTGGTGGAAATTTACATTTAAAACCTAATTAATATCTTCCCTCTTAAGCTACGTTTCTTTCCCAATTCTTTCCCCATGTTGTTCAGTGTTAGCCATCATTTCTCCAGATATCTCATTTTCAAATCTCGAGTCATATTTTACTTCTCTTACCGTGTCAGCCCTTAAAATTCATCACTCCTTTATTCTCACTGCTACCACTCTAACAAGCTCTCCTCTCTCACATGCAGACCCAGTGAGCCCTTTCAATCAAAAGACTTGAGCCCTTCTTGAACTCA